ACTCAGCATTCGGCCGCTGACTGACTGACTAACTGGCACTTTGCTGATGATATATTTCCATTTCCGTCAGGTTTCGAGGCTCTGCTGAACAACGGGGATGCACCCCAGAGAATCCGTCTTCCCATGGGTAATGACTGGCAGATTGTAGAAGTAGATAGGTTGAAGTACCGCAAGGTGAGGTGTTTGCTGCTGTGAACAAATAAGAATGACGGCATTTACTCAGCCGATGCGGGCGTATGTTAGTACTGCTGCCTGAGAACCATACCTGTGCAGCTTCTGCAGGTTGGCCTTCATCCACCACGTCGTCTTCTTTTTCAAAGTGACGTTGGAGGACTTCTCGGGCCCTCTGTAAGCCGTTTATGTGATGCCTGAGAGCAGGCATTCCAAAACCCAGAGGAAAGGGATAAACTCAACCAGTCCCGGCATCATCATCAGCATCCTTGATGCCACTCATAGCAGCAGCGAAATTAGATGGAGCCATCTTGTTGGCGCAAGCTGCTTGAGCACAGTGATGATTCAGAGTGCCATAGCCAATAAAAAAGGTGAATTTGAAGCCTGGTTTTTTGCAAGCTCCTGCGACTGTTCTGGAAATGTTAATAACCATGGGTTTGCCGCTTTGGGTGTCCAATGACTGGCCCATTCACTTGCATCGCGAGGTTCATCAGTGCGTTGTGTTGACCACATTTTCATTTCCGCGAGAGCCAAATTGAGCTCACCGAGGACGTTTTCGAAGCAGGAGGAACGGATGTTGCACAGTGGAGTGGCACTTACGTTGAGATTCGAAACTGGCTGCGTTTGTACAGTCTCTCTTACCATGAACTTACGTGTGTATCGTGCCTCCGTCTGGTCAGTCCTCATCTACGGATGTGAATGCTGAACTGAGCACGAACGTAAACATGTCATATTTTATCTTCGCTGTCTGAAAGCCATATTACAATTGAAGTATATGGACGTCTTTTCAAGTGCATGGCAGGCCCCCACTGAGACAGAAGCCTGAGGATACGTCAGGCCTGTACTGGTGATGTCACCGCTTTCATCGTCGTTTTCCCCAGAGCTCAGATTTGCGCACTGAGTCCACCAGCGTCGTTGCCGCCCTAAGGCCTTCAAGAGGGGCTCAAATCACAACCAGTTTCGATACCGTTTGCCAGGGCATAGGCCTGGTGTTTGGACCCGCATAACTGTAAGAATGCGTTGA